GGTCCAAATTTAGAGAAATTTATGCATATTTTTAGTGAGCGTTTATTACGTCGATAAGTCTTTAAATAAGTCACAATAAAATTTGAAATCTTTTTAACTTGTTCCATTAGAGACTCATGAATATAATTAAAAGAAGGTGACATATTTCATGCGATCAATTTAAATAGGCGATGGAAATTATTATAATAATTTGGCGTGAAAATTAAAGTTAGACGTTCGATCTGTTTGATTAATCAATTTTCAATTTGATGAAAATGATAACTGAAACCAAATTAAAATAAATTTTGATCGACAATATTTGAATAATTTATATCCACCATTTAAGATAAATGGTGACCAAAGTTTTTTCCATTTTATCATGTAATGTAGTTAATGTTCAAAAGTGAATATAAATGTCTTGACTGGGACTGCATCAATGAGACAATCCCATTACGAAAACATGCCAAACAAATACGAATATACGATGGCATATTTTAGTTCGCAAGCCCATCAATTTCTATGTAGCTCTTGGCTTTTTCTTTTTTTTTTAAAAAAAATAAATAGTTTTTTCATATTCTTTATTTTAAAAGATTTAATTTTTCTTTTAAAAATAAATTTCTTAAAAGTGATTAAAATAATTTATTATGATAAAAAAAAATTATAATTATATATATTCTAATTGTATTCTCCCTCTCCAACACCATTTAACACATTCCAAAGTGGTATATATTCTTGCAAAATTGTGAGAAAACTTAGATACGTACTCCGTTTGTCTCTATTTAGTTGGCCATTTTTTTTCCTTTAGTTTTCTCTATTTATTTATTCATTTTAATAAATCAAAAAAGAATAACTTTTTTCCTATTATACTCTCATCTAAATTTCTTGAAAATTTTCATGTTTTAATTCATCATTTTCGAAACCATAATTAATAAGGATAAAATTATAACTTTACTATGTTAATTATTGCTATCTTAATATATATGTCATTTTTAAAGTAGACAACTAAATAGGGACATAGATAATATATCACATCGATATAATTATAATATATAGTCATCTTACTAAAATATCATAATGAAGTCATGCGAGCTAACATTTTCACCAGCTTCCTCACACTTCTTCGTCTTCAAATTTCCATTCACCATTAAAATATCTTAACTTTTTTTAAAAAAAAATCTCAAGAAAAGAAAATAAGACTTACATGATCTGAAAAAAAAATTAACAAAAATTTTATTCACCCTCTTTCCCAGCACACCTAAATTTAACTCTCTTTAGATCTAGATAACCTTGGCGATGGCAATTTTATAATAATAATTAGAAAAAAAAATCTAAATAATCCCAAAATATAGAAAAATAAAAAACAATTTCTGCTCTAAAAATTCAGCAACAAATTAATAAAATGTTACAAAATTTTCAAAGACAACTTCAATTTTAAAAATGGTTTCAAATAAAATGAATCTTTTTTTTGGATTTATGCTTCTACAAAAGACACCTATATCAAGTAAATGTATATATCTAATCTGTAACAAAATTAACGCGTATATATATAGATATATGATTGTTATAGACGAAGATATAAACATTATTTCTGCATCTTAATCATGGTTGTAGTTGTTAGAGTTTTGCGTTATTTTTTAATTATATTTAAGTTTTAATTTAATTACGAAGGAAAATTAACATATTATAATAATTGTTTTTACTTTTTAAAAATATATATATTTTTTATTTTCATATTTGGTTATACTTTCCTTAAAACAAAAGTATGGAGATCTATAAATTGAATGACTTTATTCTTACGGCATAACACAATAGAATTCAAAATGTGATCGTTTAGAGATTTTTGTTTATGAAAACTTCTTTTCTCTATAATTCTTTTATATTTTTGGTTAATTTTATATAGGTCAATTAGTCGTATCATATAATAATTTATACTATTATTTTAATATATTTTATGTATCATCTAATTTATTTTTCATATAATTTATAATTGTCATAAATGGAAAAGGCAACCAAAGCGAGGGTAGTTGAAAGCAACAGGAAACTCAATATATATAGCATCGCTTTATTTGCACGTTTTTTGTTACACTATCTATTTCGTCATTCAATATCTGGAAATATAATAATTATACAATTTTAAAATTAGTAAAGACTTTTTATTTAACAAAATGATAATTCTGAGACTTTTATAAAAAATGTTTGATGTTAATCTTGGCAAACAAGCTAAAAGTTCAATAAAATGTTTGAAGTTTGGCCTTATTAATTATATTGATATAATTTACATAATTACAACTCACAAACTTTAAAATACAATATTTACACACCTCATCTTAATTATAACACATTTTCTTACATTTTTCGAACTTTGGTCTGGAGTTCCTTTGTGTATTTGTTTGTGATTAGGAGGCGGCTATTGGTAGGTTTAGGTTTTAAATTGTAAAAACTTTTGCTCCATATTAGTTGTTTATTCTTTTAAAAAATAATTTACCCTCTTATTATTATTTTTTTCTGAAAAAATATTACAAACTTGTTTAACACTTTTCTTAGAAAAAATAATTGTAAGGTTAAAAAGGGGAAAAATTAATTCTCTTTTGATTTTTACAAATTGACAAAAATTTGAAATAATTATTTTTTATAATATGATCAACTAATTATATTAAATGAATGATCAACCTGAATTATGATTCAATTTTAAGATTAGTTCATCATTAATTAGCGGCATTGAGTTTAAGCCTTAGGTATGAAGAAAATCAAGTTGAGAATGCTACCATCAATAAATTTTACAATGTGTGATCTAGATTTAGTCCCAAATTTTCCATTCTTTATCGTCAACTCTAGTTGCATTTTGCAGGCCAATAATGGATATATTTTAATGTGTCGATGGGACCTTTAGAGACTAGACATAATTAAAACGTGTTAATGAAGTAGGATGATTAGTTGAACATAAAATATATAGTAGTAGTAGGGTTTATGTACGATTCTCTTAAAATTTAGAGTAAATATAATTTAGACTTGTTAAAGAAATTATGAAGTGTTAATTCGTATGAGATACTTTCGATCTTAATTTAAAGAAATTCTAATTTATGCATGTTTTCAATTATTGTTTATTATTAAGTTTTCAACGAATCTCAATAAAACCTCAAATCTGTTCAATTCTTGCACTAGAGACTCATGACTATAATTAAAAAAAGGTGATATATTTCATGCTATTAATTCAAACTACGACAATGTAAAATGTTATAGTAATCTAGCCTTTAAACTTGTGGAACTAAGGATGAAATCAAGAAGAGGAATTTTTCAAATATTTGGGGGTGAATTACTTTTATAACATTTGAAATATTTTTCAAAATTATTTTCTTTAAAATAAAAGGTTTGATGAGGGTGGCAGGAGGTTGAAAAATGAAAATTTTTAAATTTGAAATATATTTCAAAAAACAATTTTCTTCAAAAAACAATTGGGGAGGGAGGAGGGGTATAGATTGGGGTAAAAAAAAATTTTAAAAAAATGAAATATTTTTCTAAACGGTTTTTTTTTTTGTGGGGGTAGGGGTGGTAAGGGATTGAGAGAGCAAAAACAAATCTTGAATTTTGAAAATTTTTTATAAAATAATTTCTAATAAAATAAACGGTGGAAAATAGCTATAGTTTAAAAACACTGCATAAAAATGCAATATATATGTTAGTTTAAAAATACTATATAAAAATACAATATGTATTCGAAAAATTATATTTTGTATTTTTGTATCAATTCTACTTTTATTCATATAATTATAATATGCATCCATCCGCTTTGTCAAATATATTTATATTCAATTAAAGAGATGATGAATATAATTTTGTTTGTTGTATTTCGAATACAATTAATACAAAATAAATTAAGATTACACTGCAAATAAATACAATATATAATATGTTATATATCAAATATAACTGATACACAATAAAGACATAATACAAAAACTCTCTCCTTCCTTTTTAGATCTCGCTTATCTTTTTCGTCCCTTATTCATAATTAAGCAAACTATGACGACAGTCGATAGAGTACTAATGTTTGCTATTTAATTAGTTTCCCATTTATAAATGTATTTCCATGTTCCGCACATGAGAACGAAATTAGCAGCCAATAAGAAAAATGTGCAAATACTGTCATTTAATTTTGTGCAAATAAAAAAATATTGATAAATATGGACACAAATTACGAAATTCTTGTCTATAAATTGAGAGGTGACAGAAAGCAAATTAATTAGAATACTAGAAAATGAAGAGCGTTGTTTTGGTAATTTCAATATTTGTGGTTGCATTTTGGTGTTCATGCACTAATGCTAGTCCTAATCAAGGACTATTGAAGTTAGTGTATGACATTAATGGTGAAATTCTCAGATCAGACACCAGGTACTTTGTCGTATCAGAAAAGATACGAACCGGAGTAGTGCGAGGCCCCGTATTATTCAATGGAGACGCTAACATCGTCTGTCCCTTCCAGGTTATTATTGATCATCTCGTTTAAAAAACTTAAATTTTACTTGTTTCGAAAAAAAAGAGATATATACTTTAGATGACATATATAACTAAACTCCAAAAGCTAACTAAAGACGGTTACATGCATGATTATATTATATGATTTTTGGTTATAGGTGATGCAGTCCCCGCGTGAATTTGACAGAGGTATGTCAGTGTATTTCAAACCAAAGGCACCAAAACAAGTAGAAATCACTGAATCAAGTGATGTGAACATTGAGTTTGATCTTGGGAATCCGACTGTTTGTAATAACAACGTGTGGATGGTGGAAGGTTTCCCATTACAATCAGATAACCCAATGTATTTGTCAACAAACGGTAAAGCAGGCTATGTGGCGTCATGGTTTCAGATTAAGGAAGTTGAAGGTAATAATTCCACTGATTATAAGTTGATGTTTTGTCATTATGGAGATGAAAACATCTGCACTGACATTGGCATCGACCATACTTCCGGACGATTGGCCATAAGAACAGGCAATACCTTCAATGTTGTCTTCATTAAGGATCCTTTCATCGGTATTATATAACCAAATAATATCTGTCTATTTCTACCTATGTATTCTCTAAATAAAGCTACGCATGCATGTACATGTGTAAAACTATTTCTATCTAAATGTACTACGTATTTCTCTGTATAATAATAAGAATACCCATTTTATTCATATTAAATTATCAAGTATAATTGAAATTAAATATTTTACCCAATATTTCTTTGTCAAATAAGTTAATTTATAAGAGAAAGAGAGGATTTAGAGGTCCCCGTCTCGTAGGGGTGGGCAAACTAATTTATTTTAGAACATTAGTTTTATTTATTATTATTATTATTATTATTATATTTTTAACTAAAATATCACATGTAATCATTTAATTAGACATCATCAACAATTGTATTAAACTCTTCTTTTAAAGTGTTTGTTGGTTGTCAAAAAGGTTACAAAATAATACAACAAACTCCTATACCAATCCGTTTATTCGAATCCTAATAAGACCACCAACATCTCTTTCATATTTGATTATTGTATCTATTGCTCCATGTCTTATTCGCCCAAATGATACAAATCTAATCTGATTGCCCATAACTAAAAACATGCCAATGAAGTAGGATTTGAAGAAAAAAAAACGTAGTTGTCATGCGAGTAAATCAATTGCTACGCAGCCTTTTATTATTTTTGTATTGATAAAAAATGGGTAAAATTTATCCGCATGGGTATATACACTAAGTTAATATATGTATTTTATTTGTTTAAATTTATACTTTATTTTATTTAACTATTATTAATTAATATATATTTTACTTCATTAAATGACGTAATGATGAAAATTGCACTAATTTAATGTAAACACCGAGATGCAGATAAATTTTTTCTATTAAAAATGCAAGGCTAGATTCGAAAATTTCAACAAAATGTTAATAAAATAATCTATCCTCCATGTTCTAATTTTTTTCTTTTATGTGGCCTTTTTTAAAAAAATGTATTATTTGAAAAATAAATTTTAATATTAAAATATAATCACTTTAAAAAGTTTGTCTATCCTTAATAATATGACTAATAGTCACATAAATATTTAAATCAATATTAAATCTTAAATTTCAATGATATTCATTTCATTAAATTTTTATATGCAATCAAACAATATTATATAAATCGCGGAAGGAGAGTTAGGATTTTTACTTCTTTCGATATTTATATAAAAGTACTAGAGTTCAGAATCTAAAGGGTACAAAATATTAATAAAATTTTAAACGGAATATAAATTTTTATTAACCAAAACGACAAAATCGCTGCATTAACAGTGACTTGCTCCACCGAAAAAAGTAAAATCGCTGCCTCTACAGTGATTTTGCAAAATGTGAATTTTTCATTTAAAAAAATGAAATCGCTGCCCAGGCAGCGATTTAAAAGAAAATCGCTATCTAGGTAGCGATTTCAATTTTTTTTAAAAAAAAATTACATTTTGCAAAATCGCTGCAGAGGTAGCGATTTTACTTTTTCCGGTAGAGTAAATCGTTGTTGTTGCAGTGATTTTGCTGTTTTGGTTAATATAAAATTTTATATACCATTTTAGAATTTTTATTAATATTTTCTACCGTTTAAACTCCAGACTCCATAAAATATTATTTTAAATATATATATATATATATATATATATATATAATAAATAAT